ATATTCATACCGCCATACCGCTACACCCCCTCCCCCCCTCAACTTCGCCGTCTTGGGCTTCCGGGGAGGCCCCCGTCGCAACGGCTGTATTCGCCTTGAAATCTCGGTCGGAGCGCACCCCGTGAGAGGTCCGGGGAGTAGCGGTATTGGTATCCTTTGGTTCTCCGCGAGGAGGACGGATCGATTCCACTTGCATCAAGGTCCCCTTGTGGCTGGATGCGCTCGCCGTGCCTGTTTTGCTATCTTGCGCGTCTCCAACCTGGCCTGGCACTGCAAAGCACTGCCAGGCACTGCCAGGCACTGCGCAGCGATGCAGAGCAGCGCAAAGCAGTGCGATTGCGATGCACTGCGCTTGCAGTACAGCGCGATGGCAATTCGAAGCAGTGCGCGATTGCAACGCGATGCGGCTGCAGTGCAAGGGGTGCAGTGGGGCGGCGGCGACGAGCTGGAACGAGGCCGCTGGGGCAGAAGAACTGCCACACATATGCACTTGTTATATTGCATTCTTGGACAGGCGAGATCACGACCTCGAGCAGCTCTCACGGACATTTCGGCTGAGAGCGCGACTCCGCCGTGAGTTGTCAGGAAGTCTCTGGCGGGAGCCGTGCTTGTTGTAGCGCGGGGCCAGGGCTTCGGCGCTCCGCCGCTCCCGCCGAGCCCTTCGAGGGCCGCCCCCGTGGGCGCACAGTCCTTGAGGGGACCAGGGCCGCAGTTTGACCCTGAGCACATTCCCAGACAACCAGTTGCGGGCGTCGGGGGGGGCGCACATCACTTGAACGCCTGCGAAGGCGCACTGGCGAGGGGGCACCGGCAGTAATTAGAAATGCGCGCTCAACAACAACAACAGTCCCTTTAAGACGCCTGGGCCACCGCCATGCGGACTTCTCGGCAACCAGCAATGACGAGCTGCACCGTGGTCGGGTTTCAGGTGAGGGAGTTGGCTGCGCGTAGCGGTCTAGCTGCTGATGGTGGCCGCGGAGGTTGGCGTCGGCTTTGAAGCCGCTGCGGAGTGTGCTACAAAGGGCGGCTGCACTTCCACCCATTGCAGTCGTCAGTTTTGCCCTTAACAGTCAGGAGGAGCTGGGCGTGGAGCTCAACAAAAAATGCTCCCGTGTCAACCAACATGTACCTACCAAGCTTCCGTTGCCCGCCCTCTTCGTCTCTGAGTGTCCCACCTTTCGGGCTGTACCTGCCACGTGTAACTGGCGCAGCCCCTGAAACAGGACGAGTGATAGACGATCGGCGAGGGCGACCGCGAGGAGGGGGATGGGGGGAGGAGGGGCAAGGGAGGGGGGGGGGGGAAGGGGCAACGGGGGAGGGAGGAGGATGGAGGACGGGAGAGACTAGCAGAAAGGGGGGGTGGAAGCGCGAGGAGCAGGAGCACGCGGCACGGGCCCGGGCGCGGGTGGTCCGGCGGGCGGGCGGGGCGGGCAGACCCCCGGCGGGCTGGCTGGGCGGGCCGGGCACATGAACGCGGCTGCGCGTGGCGACCGCGGGCCCCCGCCCGGCGGGGCGAGGGGGCGGGCCGGAGCGTTCCTGCGCAGGCCTAGAGGTTGACACCAGCAGCAATTTCGGCGGCGTGGCTCCTCCGGGGGAAGAAGGTCCCCATCTCGGTGATGGTGGTCATATTCTGGCTTCCACGGTGGCTAGAAGATTACCACCAGCACCGAAGTCTAGGATCATCCTCCCCCTGTGGAGGCACCCCCCTGTGTTGGTGTTGGTGCCCATGTCCAGGCCTGCAACTCCTGCGCAGATCGCAGGGGAATCCGAGCCGAGGTCGCACATCCCTGGCAAGCAGCGAGGGAGTCCCGAGCGAGAGCACCACTCTCGGGCAACTTGCAACTGTCAGGAGGGGAAAAAAACACAGACACAATTAATCGCCCACTCCCATGAAAATTTAGGAAAATATGGGAAGTGGGGGGGGGGAAGACAAAAACCTAGAAAATATAGGAAAATATGGGGAATCTTTTTATTTGTGTGTATTTATTTGTGTGTCCCAGGGCCCCTTCAAACTGGCGTCCCGAGCGGGAGCGCGACTCCTCAGTAAGTGCCAGCAGGGGCCGTCTGGTAAAACTGTCAGGGCGTGTTGGGCGCGAGCCCTGGATAGATCCGTCCGTCCTGAATATGTTTGAAGAGGGGTCTCCTCTCGAGAGCGCGCTTCCGAGTTAAGTGTATGGAAGTCTCGTTCGGTGTTCGGTGACATCAGAGCAAGTACCGGGCGGTAAGCCGCTGTTGAAGTAATTCGGGGGCCGCCAACAACGCAGGCATGAGATTTTATATTTTCTCCGGTGAAGACTCAACCGTGAGCCTGGGGAGAGGCATTTCAGTTGCAAAAGACTCCAGCCACCGGAGCGGGGGGGTAAACTATTTCGTTTTCTAGAAAGAGAGTTCAGCAACAGAAGTTTAATCCTGTTTGCTTTCAAATGCTCTCGTGCCAGCAAAGATGTATCTCCCAAGCGCTTCATACCCGCCTTCTTCGTCTTCGATCGTTCCCCCCTGTGTGGGTACATTTCCTGGACCTGCCACGTGTAATTGGCGCAGCCCCCAAATCAGGAAGAAAACCCGTAATGGAAAAGGGAGAGAGCGAGGATGAAGGGAGTGCGGGAAGGGAGGGAGGAGGGAAGGGGGGCATGGGGAAAGGAGAGATGGAGGACGAGAGGCACTGGCAAGAGTGTTCAGCAAGAGGGGAGGGATGACAAGGAAGTCTCATGCGAGAGCGCGGGTCCTGAGGAAGTTGTGAGGAAGCCCCGAACGAGAGCGGGATTCCAGAGCGCCCAGGGAAGGGCTTCGTGAATACATTAGAAGGAAGCCACGGGCGAGACCGCGAAACCCGGGCACGTTGCATGGAAGTTTCGAGGGAGAGCGCGGTTGACTTTCAACACACTGTCAACATGTGTCAGGCGGAAGCCGTCCTTCTTGTGGTAGTTCGGGGGCCAGGGACCCAATCCGATGCCCAACACCTTCCACAGTAAAAACCAGGGTGCGAACCCCGGGAGAGGCACTTTAACTGAACGGCGCAGATGTTGCCGGAGGGGAGGATCAATCTCAGCTGCTCTCTAGAAGTGAGAATGCAAGGGGGGGGGAGTAATCATGCGTAGCAGCAGCCCTGGGCGGCCGTGGCAGGACACCGATTTCGCGAGCCCGGTGTCCCGAGAGACCCTGGAGGGCTGGACGCAGGAGCGGCTTGCCCCCCCCCCCTTCGCGCGCCGGCCGCAGCCGAGCCTCGCTCGCGGCCTGCGCTCGCCCCCCCCCCAAAAATATCTCCCGTCCTCCCCCCTTCCTTGAGGGGCCCATTTTCCACCACCACCTTCCATAGGTTGGAGAGGGAGGAGGAGGAGGAGGAGGAGGAGGAGGAGGAGGGGGAGGAGGAGGAGGAGGAGGAGGAGGAGGAGGCGGAGGAGGAGGAGGAGGAGGAGGAGGAGGAGGAGGTGGAGAACGAGGAAGTGAGGTCGGGACGAGGAGGAGGACGAGGAGGAGGAGGAGGAGGAGGAGGAGGAGGAGGAGGACGAGGAGGAGGACGAGGAGGAGGAGGAGGAGGAGGAGGAAGAGGACCTCCTCATCCTCATTTCTCTCCCGTCGTACATATGGTAGTGATGGTGGGACATTTGCCCATCACCCCTGGCTCCCCTTTTACGACTGCGCCTAGCGTGATGAGGGGGTCCTGCTTGGAATCCCCAACCCGATACGACACGCGTCCTCCCCCTCGTTTCCCCTCTTCCCGTACTTCGGGCATGTCCCTCTACAGGAGGAGTATTCAAGAAGAGTCAAACAGTAGTCTGGGGATCGATTTGTCGATGTTTTTTGGACTGTTTGTGATCTTTGTTTGCAACTTTTATTTTTCTTCCAACATCAGCCTGTAGGAGGACATGCACGACCGAACTCTTCCCCCGCTACGCGGCTCCCAATGTCCGACTGCGCCTGCTGGCAATCCCTGGCCCTGCTGGCCATCTGCTGGCAAGCCCTGCTGGCAATCCCTGGCCCGAGGTGACACGCGTCGGCGGGCAGTGACACATTCACCGCCATGGGGAAAAGATGCATTAGTACGGATGCGCGGTAGGGATGCATGGGCCTTGGAAAGCCTTGTTCAAGTTTTGCGAGCGGGTCGCGGCCAGCGAAGGCGGCCAAGGACGGGCCGAAGGGCAAAGGATGCAAGGGTAGTCTTGGAAAGTTGCTCAGCCTCACTGGGAGGCCATCCAGGAGGCCTCTAATGGGAGGGGTAGGATGCCAGAGCCTCCGCGGAGGAGGGTGGAGGAGGAGGAGGAGGAGGAGGAGGAGGACGAGGAGGAGGAGGAGGAGGAGGAGAGGAGGATGGTCAGATCAGGCCAGCCAGCTCGAGCGCACGAGCATGGCATGGGCATTCCCACTCGCACCCCGCCCCCCCCACAACGCAGGGCGCACTGCCGACCGCGGAAGGCGTGCGCGGCGCCCTGCCCGACGCAGGCACGAAGGCAGGAGCGCAGCCCATGACTCCAGGCCCCCGTTCTATACACCTCCCCCTCCTCCTTTCCCTCTTCCATCCATTTATTCCCTGTCTTCCTTCTTCTCCTCACATTTCTCCTCCTCTTCCTCCCCCCAACTTTCCTCTATTTTATTATCCTAGCCTCGCCTCCCTCCATCCTCCCTCCCTCCCTCCCTCCTCCCTTCCCTCCCTCCCTCCCTCCATTCCCCTCTCCCTCCTCCCATTCCTCCACTCCTCCGCTTCTCCTCCCTCCTCTTACCCTCATCCTCCTCCTCCCTTCCTCCTCCCTTCCTCTTCCTCCGCTCCTCCTCTCCCTCGTCTCTCCTGCCTCCTATCTCCTCCCTCCCTCCTCTCCCTCCATCCTTTCTCCTCCTCCTCTCCTCCTCTACTCCTCCCTCATCCTCCCATCTCATCCTCCTTCCTCATCTCCTCTCCCTTTCTCCTCCCTTTCTCCCTTACTCCTCCTTATCCTCCTCATTTCTCCCACACGCGCACGTCCTTCTCCTCCTTCTATCCTGTCTCCTCTCCTTGTCTCGTGTCCTCCTCCTCCCTCCTCTCCTTCACCTCCTCCTCCTCCTCCTCCTCTTCCTTCTTCTGCTTCTCCCTATCCTCCTCCTCCTCCTCCCTCCTCCTCTTCCCCTCCGCAGAGGGCATCTATACACCTCCGCCGCCGCTGGCGAGGGCTATCCTGGGCCGCTTGATGGTGTATATACCCTCCTTGCCTCGGCCGGGAGGCTTATACACCGTGCGTTGGCCCAGGATTGCCCTGTCCAGACACGGTGGTGGTGTGTAGATGCCTTCTGCGTATCCAAGTGTGCAAGCGCAGCAGTTTCAGGAGCCGCGTCCGGCCGTCGCGACGAGGGGTGGCCCCGAGGTTAAGAAAGCTTGGGCCCTCGGTCCTCGAAGTTTGGGTACTCGAACCTCGTCTTGAACCCTCGCCGGTGTTCTTGCCAGAGCTCCGCCCTCGGGCGCCCTTTGGGACGGCTGCGGCACCCCCGGGGCGGAGCTTCTCGTCACAGATCCGTCTCTGAGGGCCCCGGGGCCCGAGAAGGGGCCCCGACGCCCTCATGGCGAAGCCCGCGGAGTGGTTTCACACAGGAATGCCCTGTTCTCCAGGCAGATGAAGCTGATGTGGATTACAGTCAAAAGCCCTCATAAGGACGCGCGACTTTGCTCAGGGTACCCTTGCGTCCTTGCTCTTGCTTGCTCTTGCGTCTCCGTCCTTCCTTGGTTTCGTCTTGGGGTTTGCGTCGTCCGCCGCCCCAGAAATCCCAACCTCGGCTTCCAAGGGTCTTGCGTCCTTGCCGCGCGCCCTTATTAGGGTTTTTGACTGTAGCCTTACCGCGCGTCCTATTAGGGTTTTTGACTGTTTTTTTCGCCCGACCCGAGAAGCCCGCGGAGTGGTTTCACACAGGAATGCCCTGTTCTCCAGGCAGATGAAGCTGATGTGGATTCGCCTCGGATGATGCCGATCGGGTGCCGCGAACTCCTCTCCTGACGGCGCTGGCCCTGGTCTCTGACCGCGTGCACTGCCCAGCCTCGAGCCATCTCCGCCGCGCTCCCCGGAGGCTCTGGGCCGCATCCCTCGCACGGACCCGTCGCCGATGCATCGCTGATGCGTCGCCGATGCGGCGCAATCCTCCGACCCGCGCACTCCGACCCCATCGGAGCGACGCCAAATGAGCCTGGCGATGGACCCAACCACATGCAGGTGTGAGTCCCTCTCAGCCAGGCAACATGTGAGGGGTGCGCCAAGATGCGGCGGGCGCATGAGAACGCAGCCACGGGCCTTCGGTGGAGCTCCCTTTGGGACCACGAAGCGTGTGAGGGGTGTGCCGAATTGAGTGCGGCGGGCTCATGCGAACGCAGCCGCTGGGGCCTTCGCTGGAGCTCCCTGTGGGGCCACGATTCGTGTGAGGGGTGTGCCGATCTGGGTGCGGCGGGCGCATGCGAACGCAGCCACCGGGGCCTTCAGTGGAGCCCCCTGCGGGGCCACGAAACGTGTGAGAAGTGTGCCGAAATGGGTGCAGCGGGCGCATGCGAACGTATTCTGTGGAGCTCCTTGTGGGGCCACGAAACGTGTGATGGGTGTGCCGAAATAGGTGCGGCGGGCGCATGCGAACGCAGCCACAGGGGCCTTCAGTGGAGCTCGGGGCCACGATTCGTGTGAGAAGTGTCCGAAATGGGTGCGGAAGGCGCGTGCGAACGCAGCCACTTGGGCCTTCAGTGGAGCTCCCCATTTGGCCACGAAACGTGCGTGGGGTGTGCCGAAATGGGTGCGGCGGGCGCGTGCGAACGTAGCTACGGGGGCCTTCGGTGGAGCTCCTAAGGGGCCACGAACTGTGTGAGGGGTGTGCTGAATTGAGTGCGGCGGGCGCATGCGAACGCTGGCATGTGGACCTTCGGAGGAGCTCCCTATGATGGGGCCACGAAACGTGTGAGGGGTGTGCTGAAACGGGGGATGACGATGATGATGGAGGAGGGAGGAGGGAGGAGGGGGAGGAGGAGGAGGAGGAGGAGGAGGAGGAGGAGGAGGAGGAGGAGGAGGAGGAGGAGGAGAGGAGGGGAACGCGGGGACCGTCTCGCCAAAGCGAGGACAAAATACCACATGCTGGTTGGGAAAAAACAGGGTCGTCTGTGCCGACATTGGCGCATGAGCTGCCCTCGAAAGGTCGCGCGTAAGCGCCCTGGTCTCCAATCTGGCGTGCCGCGTCGGCGGCCCGCGTAAGCCGCCGCGCAAGGTCGCCGTGCCATCTCGCGTAAGACCCATTCTGATCGTCGCTCGTCTGGGAGGCCTCCGCAGACGAAGCAAACCCATGGAGAAAGAGCAACTTCGGCTTCGAGAGGGGCCCCAGTCTCGCCAGGCCCCTCCATGGGTTTCTCGCCTCGGGCGCTCCTCGTGCGACTCGCGACCAAGCGGGGCCAAACAGGGGCTTGGTCCCCAATGCAAGGTCCACTGTGCAAGTTGCTGTCTGGCTGCGCGTGCGGCATGGGCGGCGCTGCGACCACGACCGCCGGTGAGGACTTCCTGCCGCTCGTCGTGGCATCCGTCTGGCCCTCCTCGCGCTATCTCTTTCGCCGCAGCCGCGAGGACATGCTCTCCGCCTTCAGCGGGCCCATCGAGGCCCGCCTCCTGCGGGCGGAATATACAGTGGGGGCCCATGCCAAGAAACACCCTGCTCGCCTCCAGGGTGCTCTGGGTTTATTGGCCTTCGATGGCCCTGCCATGGAAAGCGCGACGTTCCCGCACCAAACATCGATGGATGTCCTGGGGTCTCAGGGTTGGGTTTCTTGTGGACGGATTCTTGTGGACTGGCCTCCACTGTATAGGGTGAGGGCATCGTGCTCGTGGCGACTGTGGTGAGCCGAGTGTCCCTTCTTGCAGGCCTCTCTCTGCAGATGCTCGCCTCCTCTTCTCGCTTCCGCGTCTGCCAGAGGGCGGAGCAGGCGGTCTTGTTTGTTGTTGTTGTTGTTGTTGTTGTTGTTGTTGTTGTTGTTGTTGTTGTGGTTGTTGCTGTTGTGGTTGTTGTTGTTGTGGTGGTTGTTGTTGTGGTTGTTGTTGTTGTTGTTGTTGTTGTTGTTGTTGTTGTTGAACATTATTACTTCTAAAGAATAATTATTGTTGGGCCCCCTGGTGCACGCCCCCCCCGCCGCGCCTAGGCCGCAGCCACGTTTTCATCATTTTCGTGAGGAAGCCTCAGGTAATTCGATGTCATCCAGATCCGGTTGTTTTGTTCCCCCCCGCTTTCCCTTGCAAAAAACACTATAAAATGAAATTTCTTGTTCTAATATAATCAAATTTCAAGAATCCCTTGCAAAAAATAAGGTAAAGTGGACATTCGCGCGCGCAAGACGAAATCCTTCCAAAAGCTTAGTGTTCGGAACGATTTTAACATAAAAACATCAAAAAACCAATGGTTTTTCAACAAAAAAATGTCAAAATCTCATCCCGCGCGCTCTTGCGGATTCGTAGGAAACCAACACTTTTTAAACATTTCTGTCAAACGGGCTTTTGCGAGCAACTTTTTCGAACTTCTGCGACAACGGTTGCGCACCTGCCAGGGCCATCATCCCTGTCAAATAATACCATGCGGGACACATTCGTTTTTTCTTCGCGCGCGCACGCCGAAATCTCAAAAAACCATTGGGTTCTGTGGGTGTGTACCCCACGCCAGTGTAGTAGCCACGGTCGTCCGCACGCCACGAAGTGAAGTGTCCCAACGTCATAGGGCGGGAAGCTGGGTTTGGGTGGTCGCGAAGAGTCGTTTGGATATTTGGTAGAGCTTGTAATGCCCCCCCACGAAGTGGGGGTATTGCCTGGTGTCGTATGAAAACCCTGGCACTGGGGAGAACACCACGCGTTCGGGTAAAATGATTGTTGTTGTTGAACATTATTAATTCTAAAGAATAATTATTGTTGGGACCCCTGGTGCACGGCCCCCCTGCGCCGCCTAGGCCGCAGCTACATTTTCATCATTTTCGTGAGGAAGCCTCAGGTAATACGATGTGATCAAGATCCGGTTGTTTTGTTGTAATCCGTTTTCCCTTGCAAAAAACACTATAAAATGACATTTCTTGTTCTAATATAATCAAATTTCAAGAATCCCTTGCAAAAAATAAGGTAAAGTGGACATTCGCGCGCGCAAGACGAAATCCTTCCAAAAGCTTAGTGTTCGGAGCGATTTCAACATAAAAACATCAAAAAACCAATGGTTTTTCAACAAAAAAATGTCAAAATCTCATCCCGCGCGCTCTTGCGGATTCGTAGGAAACCCAACACTTTTTAAACATTTCTGTCAAACGGGCTTTTGCGAGCAACTTTTTCGAACTTCTGCAACAACGGTTGCGCACCTGCCAGGGCCATCATCCCTGTCAAATAATACCATGCGGGACACATTCGTTTTTTCTTCGCGCGCGCACGCCGTCGTCGTCGGCCGCGGGGCCCTGAATAGTAGCCACGGTCGTCCGCATGCCACGAAGTGAAGTGTCCGAACGTCATAGGGCGGGAAGCTGGGTGTGGGTGGTGGCGAAGAGTCGTTTGGAAATTTGGTAGAGCTTGAACCGGCCCCCCCACAAAGTGGGGGTATTGCCCGCCTCCTATGAAAACCCTGGCACTGGTGAGAACGGAGTGTCCCCACGTGCTAGTAATTGTTGTTGTTGTTGTTGTTGTTGTTGTTGTTGTTGTTGTTGTTGTTGTTGTTGTTGTTCCATCGAGTCTACGGTTCAGGAGTCGCTCTGGCCATCCCGCCCTGGGTCGACAGCTGCCGCTGCTTCGCACGCGGCAGGTGCATCGCTTGATGTGACATTGCATCGCGTAGAGGCCTGCTGGTCAGAAGTTGCAGGAGGAGGAGGAGGTGGAGGAGGAGAAGGTGGCACAGGAAGAGCACGGATTCGCAGTTGGGTTCGAGATGGTCTCCTTCCCTGGGGTAGAGCTGAACGAAGGGGGGGCGCCTCAGTCAAAAACCAAAATTGGAGAGGGTAAGGAGCACACGGGCATGTCCAGGCGAAGACTGGCTCAGGGGGTTCGTTTTCCCGTTGGTGGGGAGGAAGTGGAGGAGGAGGTGGAGGAGCAACGTCAGCCTGGAGAGATGGGGATGGGGGAGGGGAAGGCGCCAGGGGAAGCGGAGGAGGTGGAACAGGAGGGGGACACTGACGAAGCGAAAGAGGAGGACGAGGATGAGGAAATGCAAGAGGATCCGACAATGAAGTCGAGTGGGAACAGGGCGAAGATGCAGAGGTGGATCAGGGCGGTATGGTGGTCATCTGGATGGGCAGGAGGATACTCAGGAGAAACATCTATGTTCTCAGCTCATTATTTCTGAAGTTGACGGGCCGGTATGGCACCCGAACGGGTCTGTGTTGTTTCTGTGTCTTTCGAGGTGAGTCTTTCTTGCCCCGCCACTATTGGACCCCTAGCGCCAGGTGGCCTTAAGCAAGGCGAACACGACGTTGGAGGCTTGCAGAGGGAGTCCACCCTCAGCGGGTTCCCTTCTCACTGATGTGCGCTTTCATTATGTGTGCTCGTGTGCGGGCGCCGATCTCGCGGTTGCCCTTGTTATCTTTCTATGTGTGTTTGTTTTCTCTGGCTCTCTCTATCTGTCTCTTTTCCATCTCTCTATATTTTTGTACATACATATGTACATGTAGATATGCATGGAATTCCCTCTTTCCTTCCCGCCCTCCCTGCCTACCTACCTACCTACCTCCCTCCTTCTTTCTCTTCCTGTTTTCCCTGTCTCTCTCTTTCTCTCCCTTTCTCCCTCTATCTCCCTCTCTCCCTCTGTCTCTGTCTCTGTCTCTGTCCCTGTCCCTGTCTCTCTCTCTCTTTCTCTTCCCACTGTCGTCGCCGATTTCCAAGATTGCTTCAGGAGACATTGGCCAGGTCCGAGGTTCCAGCTATTTCGATGTGCAAATTCAGGAAGTCCCCCAGGCGTAGTGGAACAATGCCGCTTCCCAACCCCTGTCTACGTTCCCCGGGTATCTCCTCGACCCACGGTGGTCTGGCATGGCACCAGACCTTCTGGGGCTCGGAGGCTGGGCGGTATGGATGACGGGAATGGCCATCAGATACGGTTTCTTGGGTCCACTGCGTTTTGAAACCGCTGTGGGTTCCATTCCACCCGCAATGCTTTATACAATTGCGTGAGGGATGCCTCTCTCACCCCCGATCGGAGCCGACCGTCGGAGACGCCTACGGCGAATCACCGACCCCCCCTGCATCTTGGAATCTATTGGGTGGCCGAGCGTGGTGGCCAGAGCTCTGCCAAGCGATCGGACCATGTGTTCCTCCAGCCGTTGTGGAAACCCTTCGGGGAAGATTTGGGGGAGGATGGCGGGGAAGATCAGGAGGAGAAGGAGGAGATGGAGGAGGAGGAGGAGGAGAAGGATGAGGAGGTGGGTTGGGCATCTTGGAAGCCTCTGGGAACACTCTTGGGGCCTCCTGGGAGCTTCCCGGGGGCCTCTTGGAGGCATCTTGGAGGCCTCCGCGGGCCTCTGGGGGGCCTTTGGGGGCTTGCTGGGGGCCTCTTTGGTCTTCTTAAGGCGTTCCTGGCCCGTCTGACGCCGTCGGAAGCTGCCTTGGGATCCTCACTGAACCGATTCGGGGCCTTCTTGGGGTGCTCCAGGGCCGCCGTCTTGGAGGCCGTCTTGGGCGTCTTGGAGGCCTCTTCGGCCGTCTTGGGGCCCTCCTGGGGCTGTTTTGGGGGCTTTTTGGGCCGTAAGGGGGCCATCTTGGAGCCCTTTTGGAGGCGATCTTGGGAGCCTCTTGGGCCGTCTCGGGCCGTCGGAAGGCCGAAAAGAAGCACAATCATTGAAACATTTACGGGAAGTCCATGATTCGGGCCTCTACGGGCTTTCCTAGAGGATCGCTTGGAGGCCTCTTGGTGGCCTATTTGGGCCGTCTTGGACCATCTTGAGGCCATCTTGGGCCGTCTTGTCCAAGCCGTATAGGACTTAGCACGCCAGGCACCCCTGCGATAAATCAACAGGGGGCGGCGGAACTCCCCCTGGGGCTTCTGCCCAGCGCGCCAGCCACCCGGAAAGGTTCCAACATTCGTTTCCCGCCGCCTTGATCGCCTCTAAGACGGCCAAGATGGCCTAAGATGGTCTCCAAGACGGCCGATATGGCCACCACGTTCGTCCGATATGGTCTAAGATGGCCTCAAAGACGGCCCAAGAGGGTCCGAGAAGCCTCCAAGTCCGCGACGCCCAAGAGGTCACCAAGACGGCCCGAGATGCCTGCAAGATGGCCCAAGAAGGCCCAAGAGGCCACCAAGAGGTCTTCAAGGCGGCCCAATAGGCCTCTAAGACGGCTTCCAGGAAGGCTCGAAGAGGCCCAAACTCACGGATTTTCTTTGGTTCCTTGAGGGATTATAGCATTTGGAGACGACTCAACAACGCCCGAGAGGCCTCCAAGATGGCCCCAGAACGGCCCAATAGACCCTCAAGACGGCCCCAGGGGGGCTCCAAGACGGCCCAAGAAGCCTCCAAGATGGCCAAGACGGCCTCCCAGACGGCCCTGGAGCACCCCAAGAAGGCCCCGAATCGGTTCAGTGAGGATCCCAAGGCGGTTTCCGACGGCGTTAGACGGGCCAGGAACGCCTTAAGACGACCACAAAAGCCCCCCAAGAAGCCCTAAAAGGCCCCCCAGAGGCCCGCGGAGGCCCCCAAGATGCTTTCAAGAGGTTTCCAGGAAGCTCCCAGGAGGCCCCAAGAGTGCCCCAAGAGTGCCCCCAGATGCCCCCCCAAAGACCCCTCCTCCTCCTTCTCCTCTCCTCCTCCTCCTCCTGGTCTTCCCCGCCATCCTCCCCCAAGTGTTCCCCGAAGGGTTTCCAAAATGGCTGGGGGGACACATTGTCCGATCGCTTGACAGAGCTCTGGCCACAACGCTCGGCCTCGCGGGCGATTCCAAGAGGCAGGGGGCGGCGGTGATTCGCCGTAGGCGTCTTCGATCTTGAGGAAAACAACCAACACCAAGCCGTATAGGGTTCAGCACGTCAGGCACCCCTGTGGCAAGCCAACAGGGGGCGGCGGATGACGGAAAGCGCGCTTGCGCTGTGATCCGTCAGTTGGGAGAAACAAATGGCAGGCGTGCCAGGGCTCTTGCACCGAAAGGAAGGGGGAGGAGGCGGAGGGGGCGCGCTGGCTGGTGTGTGGGGTGATGGAGGGGGCACTCGGGATGGGGGGGCGGCGCCGTGCCGAAATAAACGGGGCCGGGGCGGAGGGGGCGCGTTGACTGGTGGGTGGGTTGATGCAAAGGGGTCGGGGCGGAGGGGGCGTGCTGGCTGGTTGGTGGAGGGGTAGGGAGGGGGCGCGGGCGGAGGGAGCGCGCTGGCTGGTGGGCGGGAGGGTTCGGAGGGCTTGTAGTAAGGGGTCGGGGTGGGGCGGGGCCGTGCCGAAATAAGATGGGCCGGGACGAATGTGGCGCTCTGGCTGGTGGGTGGGGGATGCGGAAAAGGCGCGCGGCATGCGGGGGGGCGGTGCCGTGCCGAAGTGAAGGGGCTGGGCCAGAGGGGGCGCTTTGGCTGGCGGGTGGGCGGATGGCGCGCGGGATGGTAGGGGGGGCGGTGCCGTGCCGAAAAACAGGGGTCGGGCCAGAGGGTGCGCGCTGGCTGGTGTGTTGGGTGATGCAGGGGGGCGCGCGGGATGGGGAGGGCGGTGCCGTGCCGAAATAAAACAAGTCGGGGCGGAGGGGGCGCGCTGGTGGGTGGGTTTGGAGGGGGCGTGCGGGATGGGAAGGGGGCGGTGCCGTGCCGAGATGAAAGGGTCGGGGCGGAGGGGGCGGTGCCGTGTCGAAAACAGGGGGTCGGGGCGGAGGGGGCGCGCTGGCTGGCGGATGGGGGGATGCGGAGGGAGCACGCTGGCTGGAGGGGGCGCGCTGGCTGATAGGTGGGGAGATGCGGAGGGTCTATAGTAAGGGGGGCGCTGGCTGGCTGGCTGGTGGGTGGGAGGGTGCGGAAGATGCGCGTGGGATGGGGGGGCGGTGCCGTGCCGAAATACAGGAGTCGGGGCGGGGTGATGCGGAGGGGGCGTGCGGGATGGGGGGGGCGGTGCCGTGCGCGGAGGTGGAGCGCGGGATGGGGGGGCGGTTCCGTGCCGAAACAAGTGGCACGCGTGCCATGGCTCTTGCACTGAAAGGAAGGGGGGGGAGGCGGAGGGGGCGCGCTGGCTGGTGTGTGGGGTAATGGAGGGGGCAGTCGGGATGAGGGGGCGGTGTCGTGCCGAAATGGAAAAAAGTCGGGGCGGAGGGGGCGCGTTGGCTGGTGGGTGGGATGACATTCACACCCAATTTGGTATTTCCACCCGCCCAGTACAGCGTTTCGTGGCCCCATAGGGAGCTCCACCGAAGCCCCCAGTGGGACCGCCCGCATGCGTCCCCCACATCCAATTTGGCATTTTCATTACCCAGTACAGCGCTTCGTGGCCCCATTTGTTCGGGTGAAGCGGCCCAAGGGCCCCAAGACGGCCCAAGAGGGCCCCACGACGGCCCCAAGAGAGCTTCAGATGGCCGCTAGACGGTCCAAGAGAGTCTCCAGACGGCCCCGGGGCCTTCAAGAGGGCCCCTTAAGAGGGCCTCCAGGGGCCAAACACCTTGATTTCAACGGTCCCAGATGGCCCCCAGACAGACCAAGAGGGTCCCAATACAGCCAAGAGGGCCCCCAGGGCCCTAAGAGAGCTCAAGAGGGCCCCAATAAGCTCCCAAGCGGGCCCGGAGGAGGAGGAGGAGGAGGAGGAGGAGGAGGAGGAGGAGGAGGAGGAGGAGGAGGCGGAGGCGGAGGCGGAGGCGGAGGCGGCGGAGGCGGAGGCGGAGGCGGGGGCGGGGGCGGAGGCGGAGGCGGAGGCGGAGGCGGTGGCGGAGGCGGAGGCGGAGGCGGAGGCGGAGGCGGAGGCGGAGGCGGAGGTGGAGGGGGAAGCGGAGGCGGAGGCGGAGGCGGGAGCGGAGTCGGCGGCGGAGGCGGAGGCGGAGGCGGAGGCGGAGGCGGAGGCGGAGGAGGAGGAGGAGGAAGAGGAGGAACGCAGCGCCTCTCGAGCGTCTCCCGACGGCCGCGCTGGCGCGCGCCCGTCGGACTACGCCGGGGCGCCCTCACGCCACGATGGCGGAGAGGGCAGGGTGGAAGAAGGTGTGGAGGAAGGACGAGTCAAGGAATATCCCGTCCAGCATGAGGTAGGAGAGCAACTCGGAGCCGCAGGTGAAGCCAGTGACGGGGAGGGCGTAGACGTCCTCCTTCGTGTGACCCACAACCCAGACAAGTCACTCACCCAGGTAACGAGCGTGAGGGAAACAGCAACAAGTCAGACACGTGTGAAGTGTTGACACTCGCCGAGAGGATGGAGGGTCATGTCGGCAACTCCCTCCAGCGGGAGGTCTGTAGCAACGAGCGCCCCGAATACCTCTTCGTGGCTGCACGTCCCGACCGTGAGGTCGACCTTGTGCGCGGTACCGCGCAGGCCGACAGGGATTTGGTGGAGACGAGGGCGGCCGCGGCGTCGCTTACCTGGCACTTCTGTTTTCAGATTACCGCTGACTTGGACCCTCGTGTCTTCGCGGAGTCGGAGTACCCGGCGCGCGCCGTCTTTGCGGTCAGACTCGCCATGGGCTCTCTGCGCCGTCTTCGGTTTGTTGTTTTGCCGCGGTCTGTTAGTGTCTCCCGGGGTGGACCCAGAAGCACCAGTCAACGAGCCAGCAGCGGTAGCTCCTGAGGCCAGCTCGCGGCGTGCAGCCTCAGAGAGAAAGCAGCCTCCAAATATGTTCCAACAACTACCAGGCTACTTGCCACCGCCTGAGTGGCGTCGTGAGCGTCACCATGGGTTCGGCTCACGGCCCGCGGCCATCACCCCGCTAGCTTCGCAATGGGCTGTGCTAGCTGGGTGCGGTTTGTCACCTGGCCTTTGACTTTCAGCGCTGGCATCGCCTCGACCAGTGAGACTGCACAAACTGTCGTGGACCTCGTCGACCTCCACGCGAAGGGCCTCGGAGTTCATGTCAGCCGTCATTCGAAGCGGAGGCCATGTGCTTCCAGCAGCTGTGCCGCCCGACCCCTGCCCCGTGACCCGAGCGCCGACGGGGGCGCAGGCAGACGGCCGTGCGGCAGGCCTGATCGGCGAGACCGCCGACTCAGGAGTGGCACTCGGAGTGGATACACCCATGAAGTCGATCGGTCTGGCGCTCGAAACGGGCTCCAGCTTGGCGGATACGTCATGGACGCCCGCCCTTTCATCCTTCGGTGGCCCAGACGCCGCGGGACCATTTTGAGCGAATTGTTTTGGAACGACGTATTTGTCTTGCTCGCCAGCCGTGGGCCCGAATGCGCCAGTGAACAAACCTGCGGCCCTGGTCTCCGTACCAGCTTGCGCATCTTGGATACTTCCGCCCTGCCCTGGCAGACCCCCCGCGCGCCGTTCGGGGGGACAAAGAACTGGCTGTATCACTGGATGATTGTCGCTGGCCTTCGACTGGGCATTCCTTCGCCCCTCCTCCGACTTTGAATCAGACAGCTCCGAGGGAGGCACTTGGGACACCTGGGCAACAACAGGAGGAATGGCAGAGCCGCCGTCGTCATGCCCACCATCGTTGCCAGCATTGTTCGTTTTTTTTTGTTCTCTCGGAGGTTTGGGGAGGGGCTGCGTCTCCGTCCCTCTGATGTCTTCAGTGTTAGCATCATGGACGCGCGCGCCTTCTTCCAGACCCGCGCCAGCACAAGGTGATGAGGAGCCAACAGAGAAAAAGGCACGTCACTTGCAGCCTTATCGTAGGGGACGGAGGATCGACGCTCATGAAGCGTCTGTGCATCGTCGTCCACGTGTTCGACCTCTTCCGCGTCCTTGGGCCCAGGCGCCCCTTTGACACGCCGTCGACGACGAGGCGTGGCCCCGAGAGCAACCGACTGGGCAGGATATCCGGTATATGGAGCGTCCGCTCCTAGACCTATAACGCCTGCTTGAGGTAGCTGCTGCGCACCGCCACGGAGGTCTCCACGTTGGAGGACAGGTGCACCTGGTGGTAGCACGTTTGGTGGGAGATCGGCTGCTGGTGGAGGAATCGCTTCACGCGGAGGATCCGCACCTGCGTGTCGAAGATGCGCGCCAGCATCTCGGAGGTGCAGATCCCCGTGGTCAGCTCGCGCACCAGCTTGAGGACCCACGGCTGGTGGAGGAGGGCCCACTCGCGGAACCACTCGTGGTCGATCAACGTCACGCGGATGCTGATCGCGAGGGGGGGGAGCTCCATGTCCATGGTCGGCCTCCAGCACGTGGCGCAGGGCGCGGGCCAGGCGGGAGAGCTCCTGGCCCCAATGCGCCTGCACCTCCGCGAAGGCTCGCAGGATGTGCTGGGTGGCCCGCCCCGTGCGCCCGCGCCGCCTGGGCGCGGCGTGCGGCGGCAGGCCGATTGGGGCGGCGGGCGCCACCTTCCCGGGTCGGCAGCCCCTCCATCCCGCGGGCGGCGACGGGAGAAGAGGGGGCTGGAGAAAGCGGGGAGGGGAGGGCGCGGGCGGGGCAGAGGGGACCCTTAAGCGCGTGCTCGCACGGCCCCGAGAGGCCTAGGACCGAGATGGCGCTGGAGGGGGAGGAGGAGGAGGAGGAGGAGGAGGTGGAGGAGGAGGAGGAGAGGAGGAGGAGGAGGAGGAGGAGGAGGAGGCGGAGGCGGAGGCGGAGGCGGAGGCGGAGGAGGAGGAGGCGGAGGCGGAGGCGGAGGCGGGCGGAGGCGGGAGGGGAGGAGGAGGAGGAGGGAGGAGGAGGAGGAGGAGAGGAGGAGGAGGAGGAGGAGGAGGAGGAGGAGGAGGAGGAGGATATGTGGATGAGCAGATGGAGGGAGGGGGTTAAGGCTGATCGCAGAGTTGGTGCTCATCGGGTGATGGCGCACGTGCTTTCCAGCTGCACCTCGCTCCTTTCACCCATGTGGTTTCAGCATTCTCGCTCTGTTCTCTCTGCGCCCCAGGGCGTCCTTTGAGGACCGTCGGCGGCGTCCAGAGCCAAAGCGCGTCCACAATCGAGCCTCTCCAGCGGGCCGCCTCTCGCCCGCAGCGACGCGCAGGTGTTTGTCGACCGTGGCGCAGGAGGAGGAGGAGGAGGAGGAGGAGGAGGAGGAGGAGGAGGAGGAGGAGGAGGAGGAGGAGGAGGGAGGAGGAGGAGGAGCGCTCGCGCCGCGTCGACGGGCCGGCGGCCCCACCGTGGGCCTTGTTTGGGGTTGGACGCCGCCGGTGGCCCGGGCCCGGCCGGCATCGAGCGATCCGCGCTGTCGGAAGACTGTTGCGTTTTGACCATCCCTCTGCGCGAACGGAATGGGCACGGAAAGAATGGTCACCACCCACCAAACCACCCCAACCCAACCCGAAGGCCTCACTTTGCCCTCCATTTCCAGTGGGGGTGGATGGAGCCCATCCCCCCCCAACCCGAAATTCGGGTCTTCGGGTTGGGTTGGGGTGGTCTGGTAGGTAGTCAAATGGGTACGATGCCCAACAGCAGTTCCTGTATGTTTTGAACAGGACTCGCTGTCCACGCCGCCCCGCGGCCTGTGTTCATTCGGGACAGAAGGCCGCCTTCCCAACAGCGGCCGCTGTTGGTTTGGGACAACATTTGTTGTTGGGCATCGTACCCATCCTTTCGGTACCCATTTCGGGTGTCCAAAATCCCGTATCGTGCGAGAAGGCCTGCCTGGGATCGGTATCGTTTACGCGATCCCCATCCCCATCTCCATCCCCTCCGAGGCCCCCACCAAATTAACCTCCCCAGTTGGGGTTACACCCCTCGACGCCCGAAGGGAACGGCCTGCATCCCCATCTAGGGGGGTAAATCGGCCAGTGGGGCCCAGGCCACTCCGCTGGGGATGGGGATCGTTTAAACGATACTCAGAATGATCTACGCTGTCGGAAAGCTGTTGCGTCGCGACCATCCCGAATCGTGCGAGAAAGCTTGCCTGGGACTTCAACACCGGGACTCAACGGGACCGTTGCGCCCTGACATTCCGACGTCGTGCCGACACATTCTTGGGGACGTTCACCAAGATAACCCTCGAAACTGCTGCAAACTCATCAAGCGAATGCGCGCGGCGCTAAGGCGAGAACCGCATTATGAAAGCGGTCTGCCCGCCATCCGTGAAACTCCTGCAGCTTTCGAGACGCCTCTGCGTGGAGCTAAGCCGAGAGCCACAATTTGAAACCGCCCGCCCTCCAGCCGTGAGACTCCAGGTTGCTCAGACGAGTGTGCACGGAGCTAAAGCGATCTGCCGATCCATTTGTGACAGTGCTGCAAATTCAAAGATGGAGGATCATCGGGGCCCATCGGGGTGCGGGCCCATCGGGGTCCCTCCGATCGCTGAGCGCGATGCGACAGCAGCTGATTGCGCGCTTGGATTTGGCCACCCTGCACTCCCAGAGTATGCGCACCAAAGGTCACTCCTACCCAGGGTCACTCTCGCGTGTAGCCGATAGGTGAGATAGACAGTTGATCTCAGGGACCCTGGAGCACACTGCTGGAGCTGTGTGCCCCCTTCCTCCCGCCTTCGAAGCAAGGGCATGGCCCCCCCCAGCGGGGCAGGAGGGCCCAGAGGTCCCGAGTTTGGGGGACAGGGCATCCTGACCAGACCAGGAGGGAGGGAGTCCCCCAGAGTTGGTTGGGGAGTTCCCCCCCGAGCAAAAGGCCTGACCAGGCCCAGGCCGCCCCCGTCTCCATGATCGTGCTGGGGTGCTGGGGTCCCTTCGCTCGTGAGTTGCTCGCCGAACGCTCCGATTCCACGCCTGCTGTCTCGTGCGGCGCGGCCCAGCAGGCCGTGGACTCCGTGGAGATGGTCGGCGGGGGTTGGCGCATTCCTCGCGTGCAGGCTCCTATTGCGGATGCTCTTCCTTCCTTCTCTCCCTCCCTCCCTCCTCCTCCTCCTCTTCCTCCTCCTCCTCCTCCTCCTCGTCCTTCCGCCTCGTCCTTCCGCCTCGTCCTGAAGACCTCATGCTTCTCTCGGACGCAGAATAGCTGGGCCGCTTCGGCCAGCTATTCTTCCTACCCCCCGGTGGCGTTCACTCCTTCCTCCTTGTTCTCGCCATCCAGCGGCGGACCCATGCGGGCAGGGTGCTGCAGCGGTCGCAGCGGGCGGGGGTCTCGGTGGGGGCGCGCCGCGGGATCCCACGGTGCCCCATCCAGTGGCGCGGCGTAGGTGCACAAAGGGTAACCTCGCGTCCCCCTCGCCCATCAGTATATTTTTGTACTCCTCTATACTCTTCGCCCTCCTCCCTCTCTTCCTTCACTCGTCGTCGTCCTCGCCGTCGTTCTCCCCTCCCTCCTGCTCCTCACTCAGCTGATGGCCGGGTGAGGCGCATGCGTGCGTGTGAGTGCCGGTATTTTGCTTTGTTGCTATCTTTACGCAGTCTTCGGTGGTTCTTAGGTAGCCACGCTGCTTCACAGGGGTGCTAAGTTTCTTTGAGGGTGACCCCCCACGTTTCACTGCTCGGTATACCTCAATGGCGCGTCGGAGGCGAACACGTGTGAGAGTGTGTGTGTGTGAGAGTGTGTGTGTGTGTGTGTGTGTGTGTGTGTCGATGTATGGATCTTTCCCGCCCCCGCACCATCGTCTCAGTCGCGCGTTGGTGCACACCTGCTGCCACACTGACCCGATGCTATGCCCTGGTCCGGGACTGCGCCGAGGCGCCCATCTGCGACCGCACCCAGGGGCGCCCGACGACTCCGCGACGGCGTTGGCCCCGCGTCGCCCCAGAGGCCGAAAGGCGCTCACGAGGCGACCACGGACGGCAAGCCGCCGACACGGTTTTCTGAACATAACTCGAGCTATAGAAGAGCTACAGAGCTGGTAAGCACAGCTAATCGATTCAGAATGATCAGGCGCGTTCGCCTGTTGAACCCCGAGGTCTGAACTCGGTCTGCTAGCCGAGCTAGGTCCGCAAACCTATTCGTATTATTCGAGTCAAGGGCCCTTGCGGGGAAGGCCTGCGCGAGGGCTCCCGGCAGCGGGCGCGCCTCGGTGGCCGGAGGGCCCTCGTGCCTCGAGGCCTCGGCCCCGCGAGGGATGGGGCGGCGCGCAGGGGGAGGGCCGGGCGGGGGTCGAAGACCCCCTGCCAGCCACCGCTCTTCACCAGCCTCGACTGTATCCCTATCCCTAACAGGAGAGGCGACGGGTGGATCGGGGAGTTATAGGGATGCAAAGGTACCCTTGGGAAGCTTGCCCATCCTCGCTATGCAGGTTGACTCCACCGCTTGCTGCCGCCAGAACTGAAAAGCTGTCCACGCCCGGGAGGGCGGCCCGGAGACGGGCGGCAGGCGTGCTGAGCACGCTGGCCCCTTGAAACAGACAGGTGAAACTGCTGCGAAATACAACGCGCGAGAAGCAAGCGACGAAATCTGCCCCAGCCTCGAACGTATCCCTATCCCTAAGATTGACACGCCAAGAGGCGATGACAATCTTAGGGAGTCGCCCTCGAAAAATAAGGGAAAATCCCTAAGACTGGCATCGTGATGAGGAGGTGCCCAGCATAGGGACAGGGACATGTTCCAGGCTGGTAAGCTTTTCTCACCCCCCTGCGGTCACGATCGTGGCCTTGTGCGGGGGCGGCGCAATATAGAGGCCCGCACGGGAGCCGCCTTTAGCGGCTCCTCTGGCCTCCTCTGGGCGGTGGGCGCTGACCCGGGCCATCCCTGCCGACCTGCGTCGATCGTCGATTCTCAATCGACCTCCGTCCATCGATCGATGAGCGATCTTGCGTTCAGTGGTCGCAGCGAGCGCCGCCATCCTCTACGACGCTGGAACCAGCGCATGCGAGAAAGGCCGGCAGTGGCAGAATGATGCGTCCCTGCTCAGGTAGCTCTGATTTAAGAGCGATCCTCTAACCATGAGATACAATGCAGAGAGCAGCGCCTGCGAGAAAAGCAAGCAGTGGCAGCTTGTCTTCCGCTGCCTGGAGTTCTGAGTCGCCGCCGTCCGAGGTGACTGCTGCGCGGTTCGTTGCTCTTGGCCATTCGATGCGGCAATCTGGCCGAGTTCCGTCTTGCGCTGCGTTCTCGGCTTGCGCAGTCCTCCCGTGTGGGGCGCTGCGTGTCTTCAGCAGCGAATGTAATGCTCGCCCAGAGCATCCTTCCACCAAGAGATCTTGGGCGACCATTATCAAATATGCAACCATGAGTGGATCCCCCAGCGGGGCTGGCCCTGCATTGCCGTCGTGGGTCATGCAGCGCTATATTTATAGTCTGGTCGCATCCGCAGTGGACGCTTTTGAAATGCGTGATTGGGAGGGCTGCCCGTCTAGGCGCGACCCTGCTCGGCGTTCATGAACGGGGGCGAATTTTTTTTGATTCGCGGGTCGAGGGCGCACCTCTTCCGGTCGAAGCTAAACGGGCCGCGCACAGCTTGAATTAACAAAGAGGGGGGCAGAAGGAGAGGCCTCACGTCAAGGCCCGGAGGAGGCAAAGCCTCGGGATCAGGCGGTGCCGAAGACGGTGTGCTTGCAGAGGAACACCTTGGACAGGAACGATAATCGAAACGCGTGACAGGAGGAACGCCCCCCCCCTGTCTCGCGCGCGCTGCTCAGTCGCTGTTTTGTTACAGGGCCTCCCATGCCCTCGCAGGAGCTTGTTTCACTATTTGGCAGTGGTGCCACTTTAGAGGCGGTGCCACGCGGCGGGGGCTGGCCTGCCGAGAGTCAGGCGCGCATTATCCCTACGCTTCTGGGGCTCATTTTAACGCCCTGACGGCTGCCCCCCTCCCATTTCCCACATGCAGCGCGCACGTTGCTTTAGTGTCCCTCTACAGGAGGAGTCTCTAATTATAGCCAAAGCATAGTCTGGGGACGACATGTATGTATGTATGTATGTATGTATGTATGTATGTATGTATGTATGTATGTATGTATGTATGTATGTATGTATGTATGTATGTATGTATGTATGCATGTATGTATGTATGTATGTATGTATGTATATATATATAGATATGTGTGTGTTTACAACATTTGAATATGTTTGCTTTTTGTCCGAACTCGGACTGTAGGGGGACATGCCCGACCTAGACGTAGTTCCGTGCCGTGCCTCCTCGTCTTCGGGCTGTCGTCCGGGGGACGAGGCCTTTGAGCTTCGCGCTTCCGCGCCGACCGGTTGCGCCGAGGCCGCCTGCCCCTCCCTTCCTCCTTAGGATTGACTCCTCCTGTCGCACCACCGGACGTGTCGGTGGGATTATGCTGTTCCAACCTAGTTCAGCCTGGAGCGCCAGGAAGAATTTCGAACACCAGAAAATTACCGAAACTGGAGGGTTTTCACGTGTCGGGCCCTGGGAAACACTCGTCCAACACTGTTTTGACACTGTTCCGACTCTCTTTCGACACTTGTCTGGGTGCTTGAGATTTGGATGTGGTCCTCAAGTGCGATGCGAGCAACATAACTGTAGGGCGGGCTTGAGACCTCCTCGTTGCTTGCGATGTCGAATGACCGTGACATTTGGAGCTTCGAGCAGCCAGTAGGATGGAGGGCCGCTCCTTTACCACATAAGGCTCTCGAGACAGCGTTTTTTTTGCCCATCCGCATCCGAGCCCACATCCGAGCCCGTCCTTCCGACCGTCTTCGGGCGCGCTGGCGCTTTTGGCGCCCCGTGTCGGCCGCTTTTGCAGGCCAGCCCTTCAAGTGCAGAATTGCACGCGGGCGGCTCTGTTGCCCCTGCGCGGCGTGTTGCTGCTGGGACCGCCCGGCGCAAAAACCGCAGCATGTGAAGGAGGACCGCAGGGCGAAGGGGCGGACGGATGAGGAGGCCAAGCGGGAGAATGGGGAGGGTTCTTTTTGTTCCTTCCTCCCCCATCCTCCGTTCTCTTCCCTCCACCTCTCTCGGCCCGAGATGCTTGTGTTTTGAAGTCGAACCCGATTCCAAAAAACTTCAATTGCACGTAGATCGTTCCTCTCTTCTTCCCGTCCCCCCCCCCGCTTTCACCCCTCTCCTGCCCTCCCCCCGCCCCTAGTAGAGGCCCCAGCGCTTCCAGGGAGGCCCTGGTGGCTTCAGAGCACCCTGAGTCTAGCCCGAGATGCAAGCCTTGGCTCAAGCACTGCCTGGCTGCCCCGTCGCGTCCCCGTCTGTCACCACCCACCAAACCACCCCAACCCAACCCGAAGGCCCAGATTTACCGTCGATTTCCAGTGGGGGGCGGGGTCGGGAAACGTCGAAGAAACACATGTGGAACCCTTGACCCCCCCAACCCGAAATTCGGGCCTTCGGGTTGGGTTGGGGTGGTCTGGTAGGTAGTCAGTCTGTCGTCCTGTGGCGTCCCCGTCCGCCGTCGCCGCTGGCGTGCCCGCTTACTTACTTGCACAGCCCAGGCTGTGCCCCCTTTTTTGGGTGCGCGGTCCCGCCGTGGGCCACCACAGGGAGGAGGAGGGAGGAGGAGGAGGAGGAGGAGGAGGAGGAGGAGGAGGAGAGGAGGAGGAGGAGGAGGAGGAGAGGAGGAGGAGGAGGAGAGGAGGAGGAGGAGGGAGAGGAGGGAGGAGGGAGGAGGGAGGAGGAGAGGAGGAGGAGGAGAGGAGGAGGAGGAGGAGGAGGAGGAGGAGGAGAGAGGAGGAGGAGGAGGAGGGAGGAGGAGGTCCGCGGCTTCGCGGCTTCGGGGCCCACGGGCCAGCTCGACCCCCCAAGAGCTGCCCTTCTCGCGTCTGTTCTCTCGCGCTTTCCTCGTCACGCGCTGGCGCGAACGTGCACGTGTACACGCCGGTCGTTGAAAGTGGGTATTTTTTTGGGGGGGGCTCCCAGACCCCAAATCTGCTTCAAGCGCTTTCCTAGTCCAAGGACCGATCTGCCTTTGCTGTGTGCTGTTGTCTGGAAAGGCCCGGACCCAGTGCACTGCATCCGCATTCCTACTTTCTATCTTTACCTGCTGCTCCCGACCGACGAGTACAGCACGGGCCACCACCACCCGTGGCGCGTGGAGCCCGCCCTGTGCCTCCACTCCGCGGCTGCGGGGCCGCGGCGCCTGGGCCAGCTTGCCCGCGCAAGGGCGGGTTCTTGCAGGTGTGCGTCTGTCTTTGCTGTAATTACCAGCCTCGAACGTATCCCTATCCCTAAGATTGACACGC